GCAGGTCGGTGTAAAATTTATCTTTTTCGGCAGGGTCAGCTTGGAGAGTTGGGGCATATATACTAAAGATGACAACATGTTGTTTGTTGTGGAGTGGAAGGCGTAGGGAGATAATGCGGTCAGAGTGACCCGTCGGCAGATTTTCGAGTTCAGGAACAACAGAGTTTTTGATCATGAAGCTGACTCCTGAGAGATGTTTTTCAGTTCTGGGCTTACCTGACCAAAAGAGTGTGTAACCGGCATGATGTTCTCTGAGGCTGCCTTCCTCGGGAAGCCTTCAGGTAAGCCCAGAACCGAAAAACATCTCTCAGGAGTCGGCTCCCATACTAGAGATGTTTTTCAGTTCTGGGCTTACCTGACCAAAAGAGTGTGTAACCGGCATGATGTTCTCTGAGGCTGCCTTCCTCGGGAAGCCTTCAGGTAAGCCCAGAACCGAAAAACATCTCTCAGGAGTCGGCTCCCATACTAGACATCAAGGACAATCACCAACAAAGTCCTCAGCACACTATCTCAACACACTATCACAGCCTACAGAATCAATTTGTTTATTGTTACAGAATGCGAGACAAAGATCTCAAAAGCACTCCTCTCCCAGAAGTCCAACAAAACAAACTAACCCAGTTATTCAGATTTACAAAAGGAATGTGTTCGTTTTCAGTTAAGCTGCTTTCCCAATGATAAGCACGCTCATAAAAAACACCATGACAAAGAAAATCCACATGAAAAACCTGTCCATCACCTTTGCTACTTTTTTCCACTCAATTCCTTTGGCCCTGTTTGCTTTATGGTCTCGAATACAATTAGCAATATACTCGATATTTTTAATCAGCATTTTGTAACAGGAACAGCAATTAACAGTCTCCCTAACATTTTCACCATGAACTCCATGCAAATTTCCATTGAGCTTCTCCCCAAGATTACAGTCATCATTCCTATTGGAAAGAGGACTCCTTACCTCTTTCTGCCTCCTCTGACACCCATCATCTCCCTCAAACCTACGTTCTTCTTCTTTCTCTCTTTTTGGGCTTGTACAATTTTCACCCACATCATAAACAAAAAAGATTTTTGACATGTAGTCCAAAATAACCACCCTGGCCCATTGTGGAACAGGCTTTGCTTCTGAGCCACAGTGATGGAGATTCATTATAATGATCGTCAATGCAGTGGAAGCTGTGATCATGGTCATTGTTGCTATGTAATACTTTCCTGGAATACAAAATAAAATCACATTAGAGATGCTATCCTACTAAAAAAAATCAGTGAGAAAAAACAATGTGACAACATAGTGTTAAGCATAAATGCAAGTGAAACAAATTTTTAATCGTGCCAATTCTCTGTACTGAGATCACACTTAATTTACCACTTAAAAACAAAGATTAAAGCCATTAAAATAAAATCTCATCTTCATTGCTGGTATGCCTGTTATCAGATGAGTAAGTGACTATTGTATCAGCATTGCAAATATCTACAAGCCCAAACCTCTGATTTCTTGAAACACACCCATTCAGAAAGCAGTTCAAAAATATTTGTCAGGAGCCTTGCTCTTTTCCTAGTGTCTGCAAAATCCCAGTGTAAACAGCTTCACCTGGCACACAAGGGATCCCATTTCTCAATGCATTAACAAAAGCAATGATAATGCTTTGTTGGAGCTATTGATGCACCCCACACCAGCAGATCAATGCCTTCACACTCACACAGGCCAGTGACTATCCAGACTGTGCTCGTATCCACAGCTAGTGTGCTGACAGCTAAGATGTCAGGGCACAGAGCTGAAGGATGGCGAGCTGAAGTGAATACATGCTCCTCTGCCCTTGATTTTCACAACTGAAGTACAGAGCTGACTAGCCAACCAACCTACCCTGCCTTGTGCCTATGCCAAGAGGCAGCTCCCAGCCCTGCTCTGCCTCTGTGCAGCCTCTGCAGGAAAAGCAAGAGCTGGCAGCAAGGACACAGGACACATCACAGATAAGTGTGATGTGATCCCAGTTTTCAAAGGAATTGGAAAGAATAGCGAGAGAGACTGAGGGAACAGAGAAAACAGACTGAAGCTAGGATCCTTTTGTTACACGAGTTCTTCTGAACTTTCAGACATAGATTAAATTTCAGCATAATGGATTTCCAGGAATTATAATTCAGTGAAGAAATTGTCAGATATTAAGTCAACTGTGAGTGTGTCAGCCAGGCCATTCAACCATCTGCATCTGACAGAAACGTATCTTGAAACAGTCTGACCTTGTGCTTATATAGCTCTTGCTTACACTTCATGTGTTGGTTCTAAAATAGCTTTCCATTATTAGCTTTATTTCAAGACATGATACCTTATTTCTAAATATCTAACTATACTTTATAAATATAAAATAGCTAATACATAATTTAAAATAAACACAAAAGAACTTTTAAAAACTGCAGCATACCTATACAACTTCCACACACATTTTAAGTATTTCACTATGTTTTAAAAAGGTAGCAAATTCATCTTCCTAAAAGCCACAAATTACATATAGATTCCATGACATACAGCCCTGCTATTAACAAGTCATGCTTAAAGACAAAGCATGTAAAGCTCACCTATCAAAGGTACGTTTTCAGATGGAGGCATGATCTCTGCAACCATCAGCTGGAACACAGTCAGAGCAAGAAGAACGGTAACACCCAGGGACACTTTTTCGCCAGAGTCTGCAGGGAGATAGAATCCCAGTGGAGCCAGGAAAGAGATCAAAATGCAAGGAAGCAACAGATTAAATATGTAGAAAGATGACTTCCTTTTCAAAATCAGTGTGAAGGTCACATCTGGATAAGGCTCAGAGCAGCAGCCATAAGTGATGACATTCTTAACTGCTGGCATACCATGAATCTCCCATTCCACATCTTCTACAAAGTCAGAGAGGTCACCACTATCGAGAGAATTGATGATGTCTACCTGATTACCATTATAGGTCCAGGAACCAAAGGTAAGGTTGCACTGCTGGCTGTCAAAAGGAAAATAAGACACATCCACTACACATGAGCTCTTTGTGATAGCAGGTGCATCCCAAGTGATTTTTCCATCATATCTCAGCACAACATTAGTATTCACTGGTTCTGAAAAGTCATCATCAGCCCTAAAAGATAGAAAAATGACAGCCAGGACTGACGGGCAACAACTTAAGAGTGTGGACCAGGGAAGAGGGGGCAAGGGGAAGACCTTTCTTTCACACCATTAAAAGCATGCTCTGAAATCATATTAATGCTGTATTTTAGTAGGAACTTACTATTAAGTAATATTTACAGGTACCACTCCCCATTAATGTCAAACACCAGTGGTGCTAAACTATGTTGTATTTGTTGTCTGTAGCTTCCTCAAACTTGATCTCAAACAGGAATCAGTAGGATAAGAGTCCATTAAGAGATTTAAACAATCTGTTGGTCACTACTGGCTTGGAAGGGCAGATAAGAAGTGCAGCCTTCATGTAGCACCTTTTTGTGGACAATCTTCCAGAGCTCTCAAGGAGCCTCAGCAGAAAGCACTACAGACTGCCAGGGTATTCAATTCCCAGTGCAGAGAAATTCAAAACAGCTCTGTTGTGTAGCATAATCAATTTCCAAATCTTGGTTATAGCTTTATTGCAAAATATTTAGATGATCAACAACAAATGTTAAGACAACAAATATAGCCCCTGCTAAGGTAAGGTAAAGTTCAGACTCTGTGGGTCAATTCCTCCTTCAACCCTCTCCCTCCCTCAAGTATGCAAGCTAATATTTTCCAGCCACACTCACTTGTTATATAGGACAATATCTGGTCTCCAAACCAAATTGCTTGGAATCCTGATAGAATCCAGCCCATCATATTTATCTTTGTCCCATTTGAGGTATGCATCATACCAGCTTTGTCGAATCCATAAGTAAGCTGACAAAATTTGGTTCCTTTCATCCTGCATAAAAACGTAGAAATATTTCTAGCTGAAGGTGACAAAATCATGTCTTACATGCAGATAGCATTTGTGGTATAGCTTTGATGTAGTGCTCAAAACAAGGCCACAAGAGTAATTCTCAGACAGGTATCTATGCCTATACATTGTACAGGAAGATCACTTTTTTGGACTTTCTCTTGGCCAAACCTTCTTCCCCCTGCACCCTCCCTAGCTTTAATCACAGTGTCTAAGGCTCCCAGCATCTTAAGAATTTCCTTTTCTGAGCTTTAGAATACCAAACAGCTAACAGATTCAGGCTAAGAAATTCTTTGAAAGCTTGGTGAGGCCTTGAAGTTGTAATTCAAAAGTCACAAAAATAATCTTCCCTTCTCCTTCCAGACACATTTTGTTTTGCCTTAAAAGTATATCTAGCAGAATCATATTTATAAAAATTTACTGAAGGCTGATTTTAGGGATTTTATGTAGAAATTAATTGCATCTTAGAAAAAGCATTTGCTATATTTAAAGCTCAGCAGAAGTTGCCTGGAGGGTTCAATACCAACACCTAACTACAAAAGAAGTCTTAAAAATTCAATGTTGCAAGCAGATAAGAATCTACAAAGAACTGGAGAACAGGACCCTGAGGAATGCATTACTTCCTGAGGAAGCATTACTTCATTTGTCATAACAAAATGAAGGGTACTTTTCCTGCTCCTAACAAAAGGCTTACGCCTAATACATTTCTGCATATTTTTAGAAAAACAGAACTATACTTTTACTCACCATGTCTTTAATTTGGGACAATGTGATCTGAAGGGTGACATTCAGTACTTTATCTGTGTCTTCCACTGGTCTTAGAGCATTGGAGTAGTCTTCAAACAGTTCATTAAACAGCATGTGAGCATATTTTCCTTTGGCTGATTCTACAGCTAGATAACATAGATTTGTTCAGTAAATCAGACTAAGTATACTAAGCAGTATAAGAAAACATCCTCTTTCTACTGCTTCAAGTAGTATTTGCTATAATTATATAATATCATTATTATATATTATATTATATATATAAAATGATACATTTATCATTCATATACTGTCAAATATCATTAGTTCTGATACAAGAGTACACCTGATGAAACTATTCAAATAAGGACAGCATCCACCTGGTGTAGCAGTGAATCTGATGAGAAACTGATTTAAACATGTTTCAAAATGGCCTTTTGTATTTTCTGCAGTGTCATTGCTCCCTCATCCCAACACCCCCTGTGAAGGACTATTGTCTCTCATATAAAGTGTCCTGGGAAGGTGTCCTGAGGTGTTTTTCATTGGTCCTTGTAAACCCCTTCCTATTGGCTGTTGACCCTTTACCTGATGGTTTTTTCTGTGACCCTGAACTTGGGATTGGTTCCCCTTTGATCCTCCTAAAAGCTTTATAAACCCCTTCCCAACAATAAACCCTCTTTTGCCTCCTCTCCACGCCCGGTGTGCTGTCTCCCTGCCTGCCATGGACCCACGTGGGTGCTGGGGGGAGGGGAGGGCACCTCTCCCCTCCAGGCTCAGGGCCAGAAACCCCTGAGGAAACCCCTGGAGTTCCCTTTCCCCATCCCTCAAGACGTCGGAATGGTTCTTCAGATGGAGATGGAACTAGAACTGGGCTCCCCCACGTCATGGGTGGGGAAAGGGATCCAGAACCTGGGGTAGATTAAAAGCTAACTTAAGCTTTTCACATACACTGAAAAACACCTGTATACAGCAAATCATACAATTCTGGAAGATAAATATCATTACTCTTATTTTACCAATATCTTTCATAGGCAGAGGTTGCTGACTTACAGTCAGCAAAGTCTGTAGTCAAACTTGCTCCCAGGTTATTAACTTTCGGTGTCTCCCCAAAAGCAGCACTGGTAAGACTCACACTACTTTCAGAATTTAGTCTTTTTATTTTTAAACTATCACCTGTAAAAAGTCTGAGCTGCTTTTCTTCACAAATTGTCAATTGCTTGATGTATGAACACATCCTTGCACATCTTTTCAAAACCATGTATCTGGAGATGCTTCTTGTTATACAGACTTAGTCACTAAGGATAAGTCACTAAAACCTGCGGTTTTAAATGACACTCTTTGGCTGTTCCATACTGTTTTGTACATCACAGTTTCTCCAGGTAGCCTCTGTATCACCTTTATACAGATTCACATATTTCTGCAAGCAAAGAACAGTACTACTCTGTTACAAACCACCACTGAAGGTGGGGTAAGTGACGTTCAGGGCAGATTAGAGTGAAATGACACTGAATGACCTGTCTACACATGGCAGGTTTATTTTAGAAAATTTGGTTGCAATGGAAAGGAGGTATGTACCCGTTTGGGTTATTATCTACAGAAATGAAACAACATAAAAGTATCAAGATATCACTTATGAGAACATATAAGGAAAAGAAAGAAAGAGAAAGAAAGGATAAGAGTAGATATAGGAGAAGAAAGATATCACCATATATGATAAAAAGCATTATCCCACCTCCAAGGTCTATTTCTTATCAGTCTCCTCTCTTATCTGGTTCAAAACCCAGTTTGTTCCTAAACAAAGGTTGTTTTGTCATGGTCATCCTCCGGTGGCAAGCGCTCAATTCCCCAGCCAGCCTTTCTCCTCTTCGGTTGCAAGGTGCAAACCTGGCCTCATCAAAGCACCTGCTGCTTTTGCAAATGGCCTATTGTTTGTGTCATTAGCCCTTTCACATTTCAGTCTCTCATACATTCCAAGACTTATGCAAATGCCAAGTGAGCAATGTAGGGGAACAAGTGTTTGGATTACGTCTCTCTCTGGTGATTCACACTGACTTCCAGCACTATTTAGAGTCGAAAGCAAATATTCCTGCATAAAAAGATATCCCAGCAAATCAAAGCTTCACAAGGAGCATTGCAATTCTAGTCTGCATGATCATTTTGCCTATGCATCGGTGAGACAAAGTAAAACACAACAGACTAAATACTCCAGGAGATGTAAAGCACAGCAAGTCACAAGATCCCATCTGAATAAAATAAACCTCAATGCAACATTTAGCAGTATTCTCACCTTTGAGTATCACTGCTGTGAACAGAAAGCTCAGAGAGACGTAAAAAGAGGACAAGCTCTTTCTCTTCATTTCTGGACCTTAAATAAAACTGTTCACCCAAGGGCACAGAAGTGTTTCTCGCCATCCAAAACTAACCAAAAAAGTAAATCAAGTTGCACAGCTGCATAAAGATGCTGATGCACTGATGCGTTGCTAGAAGCAACTCAGTCCTCCCTCAGGAGTTGTCAGAGTCCAAGAGCATCGACTGTGTCTCTGCCGCCGCCTGGGGCTCTGATGAACCCTCCCCTCTCTTGGTAACCTGAGCGCTGACTGCTCTCAAGCTAATACTGAGTCAGAAAACAAATAAAATCCTTTGACAGTTCTTTGCTGGGCCATGTTTTACTGCTCTTATGTTCTGCCATAACCTGCTAAGAACCATTTCTGTGGAACTTGTGAACCCTCACAAAAAAGTGATCTCAGTACTTTAATTGGTATAGTTACACTGTACATCCCACATCCAATATCATACAGAAAAAAAAAACAAAAACAAACAAACAAAAACACAACAGCCTACTTACTCCCATGCTGACAAAATGTTTTCACCTATGGAAGTGATGCCACATGGAAGACATGAAGCTACACCAAAGTCGGACAACACAGGCAATATTTGCAGTAGCCCAGTATCACTGTGGAAAGAAGAGCTTCAATGTATGTAGACAACTTTGAGACCAGTACTAAGCACAGTAAATCAGAGCAAAACTGGACTCTGCAGATAAAATGCTATTTTCCTGTACAGTACAATTTTTACCAGGTGAACTTGACAAGTCATTAAAAAAAAATTTACATAGTTACTGGACAGCTCTTACATTTGAACAAAAGAGTTACATGGGAGAAATATGAATATGAAACAATACCAAACCTATCTTGCCATCTACCCTGATGGTCAGAAATTCATTAGCTCTGTCTATATTACTCATGATGCCAAGTTAGTTTCCTAGTACCACAAACACTTCCTCCGTTTCACACTCCAATCCATCCTTCCTGTCCATTTTGCCATCCTTTTAGAACAGGTAACAGAAAACAGTCACTAAAACAGAAAGTGAAAATATAGAATGAACTATTAGAAAAAAAACCAGTTGGTTCAGAATAGTCTTGATCCACAGAAAACATAAAATACTATTTCTTTACTCTTGCATAGTCTTTTGGCATAGTTTTTTGGCTAGAAGAAAGGTGATCCCTCCATATGCATAGTTTCTATACAGTAGCACTCCAGGCAGTCACTGGCCTGTTTGTGCTTATGTGGAATCTATAAGCCAGTGACATTTATGGTCAGGTTTACTAGGTAAACAATAAATATTTTTGGTCAAAGCACGTGTAATGAAATCCATCCACATCACTTTATTTGCTGAATTGTCAGAGGAAAAAAAAGTGGAAAACAGTTTAGAAGTCAAAAAGGTCCCACAGTCCCTGAGCAGTAAGTAATAAACTGCTCTCTCTGTGGGATGAAGGTATATGCTGTTAGAGACAACAAAAATCAGAGACAAAGAGGAAAGATTTTTGCATACAGTCAGATCAGTGCATCCTCAGGGGACACCCATAGTCCACTATATACAATGTACTATATACCTGTAGTACATTGCCATTCTGTCAGCAAGTAGCTACTGCTTCACATCTCTTACTGTAATTACAAGGGTGATCATGGTACTGCTTTAAGTGAGCTGATATAAACACTACTGGAACCAGGACTAACCTTGCTTTACCACAGGCTTGAGACAACCTTGTGATCTGTTGCACCAGCAACACACACTTGCCAAGGTGTGCAGACTCATGTACTTTAATTTGCATAAGATCATGTATATTAAAGAACCCTACTCATTTATTGTAACAAAATCTTCAGGCTCTCAAAAGACAAACCCAAGAAGCATGTTTACATGTAGTTTACTCAATTTATTCTTATATGCATATATAATTTCATGTTATTAATTATAAACTTGCAAAGGGATAGATCATAATCTCTCAGTTATAATCTTTATTTCCATCACATTGGACGTACAGATAGGCGAACATGAGCACTCATACACAAGAACATGCTTGTTATGTTTCAGATGCTGCATTGATTACACAGTGCTTGTAAAAGTAAAACTAAAATACATTTTAAAGGTTTTTTATTATTAAAGACACAATGAATTTAACAATCTTAGTATGCGAGACCATTTGGCTTCCTTATATTTGTTCACAGGAGATCTGATTTGTATTTTGAATCAAAATGTCCCTAATGTAGACATTTTGTGTGAAAAGCAAGCATTAACATTAATAGTTTCTTATTCATCTGAGAGGTTCATCTACAAACCCATGCTTCCTTGCAACATAGTTTTAAATTGTGATGTAATCTATGGCAATACTACTCCCAGATCAGACATCCCATTTAAATTTAGAGTTAAACAGTTCTCTATAGTAAGAAGTTCTGCTACCAAGTTAGGAATTAATATAAAATATGAAGACACTTACAAAGGTAATCTAAGAAGAGTCACGGGTGTTCGGAAGTTAGAATCAGGCCATTAATCCCTTCCAGAACTTGACTCGTTCCCAGCAGAATTCACAGGGATGTTGTTAGAGTCCCTCTGCCAGCAGATGGCCCTGTCACCCAGTCTACTGATCGACCCAGAGAGTCAAGGTAATTTTTGCCTATCACAAAAAATCACACCGCACTTTAGTCTACTTTGATTAATTTCGCAGATTATTTGCCTTACATTTGATGTAAGACAAGGTGAGACAAGATGTTCTTTTAAACAGAAAGATAAGCAGAAGAAGCAAACCCGTTTTGTGGGTGAATCCGGGGTCTTCCTCGACTTCCTTCTTGCATCTGCCTACCGTACATGAGACCAGTCACAAGAGGGCTTCAGGGTGAGCTAATATATATAATTGTCAACAATGGCATGATGATATAAAACCATGTTTAGACCAAAGGCTGCTTCTGCTGATGCAGAGAGTGATTAAGGCCCACGGCACAATATCCAAGCCTCCTTCCAGATACCTTGTTCAAGCATTTGACTTTGTGGGAATGAGTATGGGCTATTAATGTAGCAGAACATTGTGTCCATGCATACATTCAGTGGGACAAGAGTGTACCACTCGCTGGTGCACTGAGCTATTACACCCCTCACATAACACATGTAACTTTTTATGGTTCTAGACACACACACATGCTATTATCAAGACATCATCAAAAAATCTAAATTTAGTATAAGGGAAGTTTGACTTCGCATGCACACTAAGGACAGACTGAAGTGGAGATGATAAGGGAGAAATCTCTTTCATATTAAAACTTCCAACTTTAGATCTTTATCTTTGCCAAACAATAAACAAAGAAGTAGAGAAATGTAAAAACTGTATTTAAAATTTTGTTTTTTTCAATCTTTCTTCTCCTACATAAAATAATAATTTGCTCCTGAGCCTGTGGTTTTGACATTACATTTTCAGATTTTTTTTTAATGGTTCTTACCCTTTTTTGCATTACATGTATTAAGAGTTTTTAAACCTTCAGCTGGAAAAGCTACAGATACTGTACTATTGCAGGCCTCAAGGCCGTCTACACCATTTATAATCCATTCCTTCATCAGAGAACAATAAAGAAGAACAGATTGGTTTCTAAGCACAGTTTGTAAGAAGTGTCTCACAGTCTGCTTCTACTTGCCTTCCTGCCAATTTTTCTCCACAGAAGCTGTTGCATTCACGTTCTTCACAGCATTTGCTACAGAATATTATCTTGTGATAGGGTCAAGCAGCACACTAGCTGTTCAGAGTCAGACTTCCCTCCTTAGTGTAACTGGTCTTAACAGCACGGGTAACAACAGCTCTTCTTGCCAGTAGAACAGCCTCACTGTGCCTGCTCTGGAGAATACAGCACCTCATTTAGATGCAATGTGTTTCTCTCCACCTCATTTTTTCTCACCCACCTACTGACTGCTCCTTCCTTCTCTCTAAAAATCCCCTTCCATCAGAAATCAACATACTCATTCTTATTTTCTTCCACCCTGCTGTACACATGGAAGATAGGATATATTTTAGGAAGCATTCATAATTCTAGGTCATGACATAATATAGAATATTAACCACATTTTCCAGGGATGAGAAATCCTCATTTACATGCTACATTTACATGTGGATTTTTTCTGAATATAAGTTTTATTTGGGTGACCTTACACAGGCAGCTCTGCTGACCACCTCACAGCACCTGAAGAGAAACCTTTTGCACCTAGAAGTCTGGTATTATTTAATATGGTCTAAAATGCAGCATGTTAATCCTTTTTCATCAGCTTGCTTACAAGCTGACTAATATTTTGTCTATCGGTATCTGGCAAGATTAAGAACAAAACTAGTTTGTAATTTTAGCTATCAGAAAGCTATTTTATATACAGATCTTTTTCAACTTTGTAGCATTCTTTTGATGGCAGGATCTACGCTCTACACAGACAACCTCTGGGCCTAGACACTGTTCCAGATCACAAGTTTGCTCTGATAGACTGCCTGATGCTCCAGGTAGAAATATTTCTACCTGGTTACAAGAGTGCTGACGGACTCAAGTATCCTCCTCTCATATATTACTCCTGAGTCATGGAAGACAGCACATTACCTCAGATTTTGCAAGTAAAGGAAAGCCTCCCAACTACCACTGCAGGCTGAAGACAGCTCTAGGTTCCCCAGAAAGCAATTTCTTCAGCTTGTATCTATATCACAAAAAACAGAGATTAAACCACTATCTGAAGAAGTAAGACTGAAAGGCAACAGTTTAGATACTAACTCAGAGCCAGTTTCACTCTCTCCAAAATTTAGAAGAGAGTGGGAACATCCCTTTAAAACACTACCAAAACGTGTCATGTTCACAAGAGTATCTGCATAGAGGATCATCCCCTGAAAACATATGCTTTCCTGGTAAGCTCACATCCACCTTGCAACACAAAATATGGTACATCTAAACATCTGTGTTCTTAGGTGAGTTCTTCAGAGTTTAAGAGCTCCCTACAAAGAATTAAGACTAATGCTGTGCACTAATACAGTGCAGCTGGCTGAAAAGGCAGGATGTCAAAAGA